GATAAGGAGTTAATATCCAATATACATAAAGAACTCACACAACTCAATAGCAAAAAAACAATCTGACTAAAAAATGGGCAGAGAAACTGAACAGATATTTTTCCAAAGAAAACGTACAAGTGGCCAACCAGTACATGAAAAGGTGCTCAACATCACTAACCATTAGGGAAATTCAAATCAAAACCACAATGAGATATCACCTCACACCTATTAGAATGGCTGTCATCAAAAAGACATGAAATAACAAATGCTGTCGAGAATGTGGGAAAAAGGGAACCCTTGTGCACTGTTGGTGGGAATGTAGATTGGTGCAGTCACTATGGCAAACAGTATGAAGATTTCTCAAGAAACTAAAAATAGAACTACCATATGATCCAGCAATTCCACTTCTGGGTATATATCCAAAGAAAATGAAATCACTGTCTCAAAGAGACATATGCACCCCCATGTTCACTGCTGCATTATTTACAATAGCCAAGACATGGAAACAACCTAAGTTTCCATCAACAGATGAATGGATAAAGAAAACGTGGTGTTTAAATACAACAGAATACCATTCATCCATAAAAAAGGAAATCCTGCCATTTGTGACAAGACGTATGGGCCTTGAAAGCATTATGCTAAGTGAAATAGGCCAGACAGAGAAAGGCAAATACTGTACTCTCCCTTATATGTGGAATCTAACAAAACCTAACTAGAAGGAACAGAGAACAGACTGGTGGTTCCAAGGGCAGGAGTAGGGTGGGGGAAATGGATGAAGGTAGTCACAGAGCACAAACTTCCAGTTACTAGATAAATAAGTTCCGGGGATGTAATGGACAGCATAGTGACTATAGTTAACAACACTATATTGTATTTTTTGAAAGTTGCTAAGAGAGTAAATCTTAAAAGTTCTCATTACAAGAAAAAAACTATAACTGTGCAGTGATGGATGTTAACTAAACTTATTGTGGTAATCATTTCCCAATATATACATATATCAAATCATTATACTGTATACTGTAAATATAATATAAAAAACTAATATAATGTTATATATCAACTATATCTCAATCAAACTGGGGGAAAAAATCCAGCTCAATCTAAGTTAACTGGCTTTCTTGCATTTAAGAATTTAATCTGAATTTTAAGTAAACAACAGCTAGTATTCTTTGCTTTCTAAATACAAAAAAAGGAAACCTAGGGGCCGGCCCCATGGCTCAGTGGTTAAGTTCACACGCCCCACTTCAGCGTGTGAAAACCCCACGGTTTTGCTGGTTCGGATCCTGGGTGCAGACCTGGCACCACTCATCAAGCCATATTGAGGCAGCGTCCCATATAAAGGAACTAGAAGAACCTACAACTACAATATACAACTATGTACCGGGGGGCTTTGGGGAGGAAAAAAAAAGAAATCTGGAAGTTCATTCATTAACTACTGTAAATAACTTTGAAAACATTACCACGAAAAGGTATAAAACTCTTTTTCAGATGTGATTCTGAATTTCCTTACTTTCCCTTCTAGTATAACAAGTAAAAGCTTTAAATGAGGTTGGGTCAGGGTGAGGTTAGTTTAAAACATTCCAAAATAAAGTTTTGAGAAAATTTATAAATATCTCCCCCAAATTAAAGAACTTAATTTCTAATCAAACTTTTTAGCACACTATTCCTAAAATGAGAGAAATGCCTCGGCATTAATGAAAAAGCTTCAGTAATGTCATGGCAAGGCAATATATATTTCTTATGGTCGATAAACACACAATCTCTACCTCTACAAGAGTAATATAACCACCTTGTAGAAACCTTTAAACTTTACATGAAATTGAGTCCAAATCTTTGACCTCATTCTTTTCCAGAAGGATAACTAAAAACTACAGTTCATTTCAGAACTCTGATGCTATACTGAAAAGTAGCATCAATACAGTTTCAAGTTTATTTACTTGATACTTACTATGTAAAGAGGGTATAAAAACAAAGTTCCTGATCTTACTCACTCTCTTTAGAAGTAATTTAAAATCTCATCAACAACTTGAACTAATTTAGCACTACCTAATGAAGTCTTAGAACAATTTATCACAGGAGAAAAGAAACAAAAATAAAGGTCAAGTTACTACTTCGAGGCAGATTCTCAGACCAGAGCATGAAACAAAACTAAATACGAAGGTCAGGTCCCCTAATTGAGAAAACCTTCTATTCTGATGGGAAGGAACACTTATACAGTTCAGATGCCCTGGGCAGAGTCCTCCAGGCAAGGCTCAGCCACTGTTCAACTGAAGGCATCCCAGGAGATGCTTCCCCTAATTTTAAAGCTGAAAGTCCCACGCAGACCCACACAGTTGGTAACCTTAGCTTGAGAACCGGTAAGGAGAAAACACTTCAAACACTGATTGAGCACTTCTGTATCACTCTCTATGCAATGAAGTGAACTGACTGGATTAGAGTCTCTCACTGAAACTGGCCAGCAGCACTGACCACTGTCTTCTGGCTCCTCTTTCAAGGCATCTTGGAAGCAGACTGCGGTGATCACGCCTGTCTTCAGTCTCCTCTCTTCTGGGATACAGCACTCTCCTGGTTTCACTCCTACCTCAATGGCTCCTCCTCCTCAGTCTCTCTGGATGGCTCCTCTTCCTCTAACTGCCCAGAAAACATTAAATGTCCCCAAGCTTGGCCCTCTGCTGTCTTATTTTAAATCTCTGCTGGCTTCTCTATACTCTCCATGTGATCACCCTTAAACACCATTTATACACAGGTAACTCTCAAATTCCTATCTCCATCTCCCCCGTCTCCCTACTAAGCTCCAAATTTGTATACCCAACATCTCACCTGAACAACTAAACAGCATCTCAAACTTCACACTGCCAAAATAGAACTTTTTAAAAAAATTATTTTATGGAGGTCATATTGGCTTACAACATTGTGTAAATTTCAGGTGTACATCACTATATTTTTTTCTGTATGGACTAAATCATGTTCACTACCAACAGCCAGTTTTTATCTGTCACCATACATACGTGCCCCTTTATCCCTTTCCCCTCCCCCCAGCTCCTCTTCCCCTCTGGTAACCACTCATCTGTTCTCCTTATCCATGTGTTTGTTTATCTTCCACATATAAATTAAATCATACGGTGTTTGTCTTTCTCTGTCTATTTAGCTTAGCATAATACCCTCAAAGTCCATCCATGTTGTCACAAACGGCACCAATTTTGTCCTTTTTTTATGGCTGAGTAGTATTCCACTGGAGATATATACCACATCTTCTGTATCCATTCATCCATTGATGGGCACTTGGATTGGTTCCACTTCTTGGCTATCATGACTAATGCTGTGACGAACACAGGAGTGCATATATCTTTTTGAATTATTGATTTCATGTTCTTTGGATATGATCCAGGTAGTCCAAAACAGAACTTCTGATTCCACTTATCTTCCTCACACTCTTACCCATCTCGGGAAATGGCACCACCATCCATTATAATTACTGAAGCCAAAACCACACTATCACCTTTGATTCCTCTTTCTCTCATGTGCTACCTTCAAACCATCAGTAAATCCCATCAGATTTCTCAAATATATTCCAAATCCATTCTCTTTCCTTCTCCAAATCCAATCTTACCACTGTAATCCAAGCCATTCTCTCTCACCTAATTACTGCAATGACCTATTAACATTTCCCTACTGCTATTCTTTCTCCTCCCCCTCCACAATTTCTTCCCCCACCAAACAGCCAGCAGTGATCTGTAACACCAAGGATATGAAAGTCTGCTTCGTTTCCCCAGTACACAGAACAATGTCTGCCTCACAGGCGCTCAGCGTGCTGAGTCAAAGAATGAAGAATCGTCTCCCCTACCCTTTCATAGCTACCTTCTCCACCTGCAGCACAGAATTCCAACTTCTCACAATGCCTTACATCACCAGGCCTCCCTCACCTCACATCCCTGCTCACTATGCTCTAGACTCACTGGCTTTCGAAACTCCTCAAACTTCCCAAACTCACTTTCACCTTGGAGCTCTTGCTGTACCCTTTGCCTGAGCATACCTCCACTCATGTCTCGCTCCTTCTTTCTCATCGTCCAGGTCTCAGCACAATGTTACCTCAACAGAGAGAACTCCCTTAACCAGCCTACCCAAAGCAGCTCTGCCCATCCTCCGCCATCTCACCCAGTTTCCTTTTCTTCATAGTACTTAACACTAGCTGAATTATCTTGTTGTTAGTTTACTTACAGACTGTTCCTCTCCACTAGAACGTAAGCTCCCTTAGAGCTGGGACCTTATCTTTCTTGTTCAGTGATGTATCCCTGGGGCCTAGTGCAATGCCTACCACACAATATTTATTCAAAGAATGACTCACAAACACTTACCAAGTACTTATTATGTGCCAAGCACTATGCTAGGTAACAACAACGGATTTTTTTAAGTAAAGAAAAATAGAAAGCGGAAGTAAAACATTAGTATGAAGAGTAATTTGATGTTCTTTCTATGTTGATCATTCCCACTTTTGAATGCCTTTATACAACAAATTCCACTTTTTAGAATATTATTTACCCAGTGCAAAATATGAAGATCCTTAAAGTAGTCATAATAATTAGTATCTCATTGTAGCTTTAGAAGTTACCTAGATGGTTACATTCTTCATTTTTTTAACGCACAATTTGAGGGAACTAATTAAGCTACCACTCAGTAAAACACTATCTAGGAAACTTCATGAATTCATCATTTTCTCAGAGAACACACACATTTCATCTAGTCAGAAAAATCATGACTCTGTAAAACCTTTCTGTTCTCAACATACAGGAATATTCACAACATGACAATAGAGGTTGTCAACTCACCATTTATTGCCTGGCCTCAGATTAATTTACCAGCTTCATTCAAGCCATGAAATGACTGAATTCCAAATACTAATCAAGTTCATTTCACAAAAGTCATCACTAAAGTAGTCATTTACTCTCATTCCCCAACGCCTATTATAAAAGAACATGTCCAACTGAGTTTAGGCCAAAGAGTTATGTTTCATTGTTACCATAGTACTTTTAGGTCCATCTAATTCAGAACCGCAGCAGAAAACCTTAGTACTTGATGTAATCACACCAGTTACTACCACTATCATTATGATGTCACTAAACACCTTATGTCAATGCATCAACTAGGAAAAGGCAGATTTAAAGCTCAAGGCACTGAACAAAGACCTTTCTTCAGATCATGTAAGTGTTTTCTATAACATTTTCTTTTTGGCACACTTTAAAACTGTCATATCCTACCTCCACATGTTTTAATGGTTGAATGTATTAATATTTCTAAAGTATGATTTATAAAAAGGAAGAAATTCAGTATAACTAGGTATAAATACTCAAAATATCACTATATCATATTAGATGCTTAAAGCCTAAGGGAAATACATCTACCCTTCATCAACTCTGAAACTATTACACATTTTTAATAATAGGGTATCATCAAATGCACAAAAGACATACTCTTGTCCTATTTAAAACTAGCTTTCTAACCATACTTACCAATAAAAAATAAACGGGGGCTTCTCTTTGATCTTTTTATGGAAATATAAGAAAACATTCATCTTATTTTCATTTACAACAAAGTTACTCTAGAAAGCTGAAAAACTGTGGGCAAAAAAGAAAAATTAAACACTAAAGCAAATGTCAAAAGTTCAGGATTTTCCAAACCACACTTGATACTGTTCCTATTTATTTTTACTGCTGTTACCTTAAAAAGAAAAGTTTCCTGCAATTTTTCTGAACACTGGTTCTATATTACCTTTGGTTTTCCCTTTAGTCTAGTTGCATATTTGTATAACCAAACCAGTTTTAGGACACCTAGAATTAACCCACATATTGAGATAAACTCATTTAAATACCAGAAATTATTTACTTGTCCCTGCCTTCACACTGGTCCTCAGGACCAAAATGACTGCTGGTAAATTCAATCAGAACACTGGTTCCCTTTGTCTTCAGGAAAGCTCTAAAATCATTCAAGTTAGTCAAAAGATATATGGGACAATATTTCAAAAATATAAATTTTCTTCAAACTCTCAAAAAAGGGAAAAAATCCCTACATGAATCAACTCAGAGGTCATTATGCTGACCTTCAACATCTCCTCATTTGCTAAAGAAACTAACCTACAGGACAACTTTTTTAAACTAACTAAAAAATAATTTTAAATATTTGTTTGCTCAAGAATAAACTAACATAACAAATAATTACATCACTATTACTGTAAAAGTAATCTACTCTTAGCACATAGCTGAAAAAAAATTTTATTAGAAAGGCATGTCCTGACTTACCAACGGTTTATCACTGTCAAAGTTGAGATAAAATATATGCTTTGTAAAGATATACCATCCAAATTCCTTAAACTTGGGTAGTATTTATAAAGTATCTTCTTCCACTATATTCTTCCTCACAGCAAAGGCTTAGAGGCTGCAATGAAACCTCAACGTGCTTCCTTCAGTTACTTAACAACTGCTAAGCACTATGATGCTTTCTTCCTCAGAGAAAATAATGGAAAAATGGATACAATGCTTGGCTGATATTATACCTCCAAACATGTTATTATTACAAATAAATTTTAAGAGGTTCAGTTACAAAGACATTACAGATGGCTTTTGACAAGTACAGATCACTGAAACCACTCCCTCCAGCCACTAGGGATAATGAAGCGTCTTCTCACTGAGTTACTTTGATTGCAGGATTTGTAGATACTCAGTAAGCATCAGAAACCTCTCAACTGCAGTCTTCTCTTCTTAGGACAAATACTATGCATTTTAGAGAACGTAATTCCCTCCTTATGTTGGTTTTTACTAAACTCTATCCCTTCTAAAAGTATTGCAGGACCCAATTTAAGAGAATGATTTCGAATCTAACTCTGGATTTTAAAATTTATGTATGTCTAGATTTAATGTATAGTATGGTGACTATAGTTAACAACACTGTATTGTATGCTTGAAATTTGCTAAAAAGATCTTAAGTGTTCTCATCACACACATGAAAAAATGGTAATTGTGAAGTGATGGATTTGTTAACTAGTTTGTAGAGACCATTTCCTAAATGTATACATATATCAAAACATTAAAATGTACACCTTTAACATATATACAATTTCTATTTGTCAATTATACCCCCAACAAAACTGAATTACATGTCTAAAGAAGAGCCACATCACAAATTTCTAAACTATCACAGAATTGCATTGTTTGAAATTTTAACAGCAATCTGAGTTTGTGCCTGGTATTTTTTAAACAGCAGAATACACTACCAGCGCAAAACCAGGTCCAAACGCTGCTTCTGCTTTTTTGTTTTGCAAACGGCTTTGTAAATGTATACAAAAATGTCAGTTACAGAAGTCGAGCTCGAAGATTTTGTGGAACAGGGTTACTTCATAGGAGTCCTAGAACCACCTAAGATTGGAGGAAAAATTGTGTGTGTGTACGTATGGCATTTGTTCTGGATAAAAGGTCCCTATCACTTTCAACTTCTCAAAGGGGTTCAAAGTTCAATCAGGTTAAAGAGCCTGGAGGAATCGTCAATGTCAGATAACTTGTCACAGGCAACCCAAGCCTTACTTTTTGTCCCAAATGAGGGGAGGATTTATCCTAATTTGGTGGCTCTGACACAACTTCTGAGCGATGCAGGCATGAAATGGCTGTCCGATACAAACAGCTCCCTTCACACACCCAACGCGGTAAACCCCAAATTTTCCTGAAAGGGGCCAAGGAGATGCAAACGGACCAACTCCCCGACTGCTCAAAGGTCGACTGGCTCTTACAGGACGTGTCCTCCCTCGTGCCAGAGAGGGCTGCGGGGCGCGCCCCGGGCTGCGGCAAGGGGCTGAGGTTCCCCCGGGGGGCACGGCATCCCCAGCAGCCTCCTGCCGCCGCCGAACGCGCCCCAGAGCGGCCGCGGGCGTGGGCGCAGCACGGCCCGCCCTCCCCGCGCCGCCGCCGCCGCAGCACGGCCGCAGCGACCTTCCCGCCCGGTCCCCGGGAGCCCCGTTATCCAAGGGGCCGCTCACCCCACGAGGGGAAGGGAGGAGGACAGACAACAAAGCCCAAGCCGAGGAGGCCCAGGGAGCTTTCAGGCGGGGCGCGGGGCCGGGGCGCCCAGGGCCCGGGACGCGGCCGCCAGATGTCAGCCCGGGGGCCGGGTGTCGGCAGGGGGAGGAAGCGGGGAGGGCGGGCGCGCGCGGCGGCGTCGGGGCGGCGGGCAGGGGAAGCCAGGCCTACGGCGGGAGGGGGCCCGAGGCGCCACGGACGGCCGCGACCCCCGCCCCAGCCGCGGACCGTCCCGTTACTTACCCGCCGGGAAGCTTCGGGCTCCGCCGGGGCTGTCCCGGCCGCCGGCCTCCGGGGCCAGGAAGCGCCCCCACATCGCGGGCAGGAGGGCCGGCTGGGCCGGGGGCGCCCGACTCCCCACGTCCGTCCGCCCCCGCCTTCGCCTCCCGCTTCTTCGGCGGCGGAAACTTGTGCGGCGCCTGGGCCGCGGCGGCCCCGGCGGGAGGGCGAGCTGGGTAACGGCTGCTCAGCGACGGGCGGGGAGCGCAGGGGCCAGATTCGCCGCGGCGGCGGCGGCTGCCATGGCCGAGCCGGCTGGGCTGAGGCCCCGGCCGGGGAGGCGGCGGCTCCGCGGTGACGGAGCTCGGTCCCTGGCTGAGCCCAGGCTCCGCGGCTCCGGGCGAAGTTGCAGCTGCGGCTTCTCTCCGCCCCCTCCGCCTGCTGAGCCCGAGCCCGAGACAGAGCCGGAGCAGGAGTGGGGCGGGGCCGGGCGGGGCGGAGCCTGCCGGGGGCGGGGCTTTGGGCGCCTATATAAGGCGTGCGCGGCACGGGGCGGGGACTGCGGCTGCCCTTGGGGGCCTCTGCGCCGTTTCGGTTCGCCGGTACCGACTGGGGCGGCTGGGCCAACCAGCCGCTTCCTTCCTTCTCCAACCTCACGCCCTGCGAGGTGAGAAGAGGGTGATAATTTAGCCCGGGGCCCTATCTTTCGTACCCCGCTACCCTGGGTAATCCTTCAACCCTCCAGGGCTCCTCTCTGAAGGAGGCGTGGAAGACCTGCCTTCGCAGCACAACTGTTTGAGATAAAGAGCATAACCCGGGAGGGGTAGGACTCCTAGTCTCATTTGGGATTGAGATTAAAGTCGTCGTCGTGCATTCCACCAACATCGTTTATAGATCACTGTGCAGGATAGAAAAGAGGTCGTTCCAATTCAGTAAGGGAGGAGACAGATACCAAAGTATCTATGACACAGGCATGTGCGCACGCAGGAAAAAGCAGAGACGGCAAAGAAGACCCAAGGATAATTAGTACCAGAGGATTCATGGAGGGCCCGTGAATTTTAATCTAGTAGCCCAGTGTTTCAGATAAGCAGCCAGAAAGGAGTCAAATTGGCACCAAAGTATGTATTGGGAGTGTAAGTGTCTTTACCAACTACACCTTCACGTTTCTCCTCTGCCTGGTCAGTTTCCACTCTTCACCTGGAACCCCGAATGCAGGAGCAAGTATCCTGAGGAAGGACCGAAGACTGCAGCATCCTCTTTAAATCTTACTTCTCTTTGGCAATATTATAATCCTTCCAACATTTAGATACAAATAGTTTATTTAGTAAGTATTGGTCGAGCACTGTAGAAGGAGGCGGGCTCTGCTCTAGGCAGAGGTAAACCAAAAAGCAAGTCTCTACCCTCAACAGGCTTTGAGTCCAGTGACGCTTTTTCCTGTTTTGGAAATTTGTTAACAAAGGCCTCACATTTGTATTTAAACATCCTGTAGTTGGGAAATACTGCCTAAAACTTTTAGAGGTTAAATTACATTTTTGTGTATAGTCTATCACTTACCACATCTGTGCTGTAATTTATCTGATTGCGGTGTTCTGCTCAGTCTCCCTCCCGTACAGCTCCACTTATTTCTCCAAATCATGAGCAATTGGCCAAAGGTCGCCTGTTTCTGAAGATAGAACGTGACAGAAACATGAAAGAAGAATGTGATTGGTTCCTTTTTCTGATTTACACTTCAATAGTATAGGTTCAAAAAGAAACTTGAAAGAATAAATTCCAAAAAGAATTATCAGAAGCTATAGGACTATAACAAAGTATCCCTTTTTTTCATGATTTACAGTTACCGTAGTCTCATAGGTACAGCATTTATTAAATAAATCTTTTTTATACAGTTCTAAGAAATGTATGAACTATTACAGATACATCTTAGTCCTTTGTGAGCTTAAAATATACTCTTGTTATTCCAAAACTCTGCCAATTTTCACTTAATTCTAAACAGTTTTTTAAAAATCCTTCACTCTGGTTTTCTACATGTTTTTGTGAATGTGAAGGGCATGTCACTACACACACACACAAAGTACATGTGAAGCTGAGACTATGTACAATATTTCAATACCTATTACAGAATGAAAGCAAACAGCAAAAGCATCTTGCTATTTTGGCCGTTGGCACCAAAGATAAACATTTTTGTGTTCCTACTAATTAAACTTGGGAGGATAGAGATCTAATGCAATTAAAATAATTGAAATACTAAGTGGGAGTATTATGTGTATGAAGTAAACTGTAACCATCCATTTTTAAAATCATATGGCTTCTAAGTATGTACTGAATTGAGATTCCCTCCACCCTATCCATGATACACCCAGTATCCGTGGTTCTCCAAATGATTAAGTTTATCATAGCACATGATCAAAATCCTCAGGACTGTCTAACCATTACTAAGCCTGATGTTGTAAATTGGCATATTTTTCTTTTCTTGTAAAAGTATGTAAAGACCATAAGGAGAATCCTACAAGCAAAGACATTTATTGTTGAACTTCAGTATTTTGGTCATTGTTTTTATAAGCAGAGATAACACAAGTAAGTAATGAAAATAGTGACTGTGTATGTTTGTGTGTGTGTGTATAAATATGGTTGCTTAGGGGAAATTTAGATACTTAATGTTTTGGGAGGGGGCATAAAAAATATAAACTAGATCACAGAACAGAGAAATAGTACTAAAAATGCCGTATTTAATACCAAACTGTATTAAACTATTCCTTTAAAATGTTGCATTCCCAAATACAACAATGTTAAAAGGATCATTCACCATGACCAAGTGGGATTTATTCCAGGGATGCAGGGATGGTTCAACATATACAAATCAATCAACATGATACACCACATTAACAAAATGAAGAATAAAAATCACATGATCATCTCAACAGATGCAGAGAAAGCATTCAAAAAGATATGGCATCCATTTATGGTAAAAACTCTGAATAAAATGGGTATAGAAGGAAAGTAGCTCAGCATAATAAAGGCCATATATGACAAACCCTCAGCTAACATCATACTTAACAGTGAAAAACTGAAAGCTATCCCTCTATGAACAGGAACAAAACAAGGATGCCCACTTTCACCACTCTTATTAATATAGTATTGGGAGTCCTAGCCGGAGCAATTAGGCAAGAAAAAGAAATCAAAGTAAGCCAAATTGGAAAGGAAGAAGTAAAACTGTCATTATTTGGAGATGACATGATTTCATATATAGAAAACCCTAAAAAAACTATTAGAAATAATAGATGAATACAGTTAGGTAGCAGGGTACAAAATCGACACACAAAAATCAGTTCCGTTTCTATACACCAACAATGAACTAGCAGAAAGAGAAATCAAGAATACAATCCCATTTATAATTCCAGCAAAAACAACAAAAAGATACCTAGGAATAAGTTTAACCAAAGAGGTGAAAGACCTATACACTGAAAACTATAAAATATTGTTGAAAGAAATCAAAGAAGACACAAGGAAATGGAAAGATATTCCATACTCATGGATTGGAAGAATTAACATAGTTAAAATGTCCATACTTCCTAAAGCAATCTATAGATTCAGTGTAATCCCTAACAAAATCCTAATGACATTTTTCATGGAAATAGAACAAAGAATCCAAAAATTTATATGGAACAACAACAGGCCCCAAATAGCCAAAGCAATCCTGAGAAAAAAGAACAAAGCTGCAGGTATCACACTCCCTGATTTCAAAATATACTACAAAACTGTAGTAATCAAGACAACGTGGTACTGGCACAAAAACACACACACACATATCAATGAAACAGAATCAAGCACACAGAAATAAACCCACACATCTATGGACAGCTAATTTTTGTTTTTTTTTGGACAGCTAATTTTTGACAAAGGAGCCAAGACCATACAATGGAGAAAGGAAAATCTCTTCAATAAACGGTGTCAGGAAAACTGAACAGCCACATGCAAAAGAATGAAAGTAAACCATTATATCTTACACCATACACAAAAATTAACTCAAAATAGATTAAAGACTTGAATGTAAGACCTGAAAGCATAAAACTCCTAGAAGAAAGCATAGGTAGCATGCTCTTCCACATCAGTCTTAGCAGTATCTTTTTGAATATCATGTCTCCTCAGGCAAGGGAAACAAAAGAAAAAATGATCAGACTAAAAAGCTTCTGCACAGCAAAGGAAAACATGAACAAAATGAAAAGACAACTTAAAAATTGGGAGAAGATATTTGCAAATAATATATCTGATAAGGGGTTAATATCCAAAATATATAAAGAGCTTGTACAACTCAACAACAAAAAAACAACCCAATTAAAAAATGGACAGAGGATCTGAACAGACATTTTTCCAAAGAAGATATACAACGGCAAACAGGCACATGAAAAGGTGTTCAACATCACTAATTATTAGGGAAATGCAAATCAAAACTACAACAAGATATCACCTCACACCCATCAGAATGGCTGTTATTAAAAAGACAAGAAATTACAAGTGTTGGAGAGGATGTAGAGAAAAGGAAACCCTCATACATTGCTGGTGGGAATGCAAACTGGTGCAGCCACTATGGAAAACAGTATGGAGATTTCTCAAAAAATCAAGAATAGGACTACCATATGATCCAGCTATTCAACTTCTGGGTGTTTATCCAAAGAACACGAAAACACTAATTTGAAAAGATATATGCACCCCTGCATTCATTGCAGCATTATTCACAATAGACAAGACTTGGAAACAACCTAAGTGCCCATCAACAGATGAGTGGATAAAGAAGAAGTGGTATAAATATACACTGGAATACTACTCAGCCATAAAAAAAGATGAAATCTTGCCATTTGCAACAAGGATGAACCTTAAGGGCATTATGCTAAGCAAAATGAATCAGACAGGCAAAGCCAAATACCATGTAATTTCACTCATGTGTGGAAATAAACAAACAAACACATAGATAAGGAGAATAGATTGGTGGTTACAGAGGGCAGCAAAAGGAATAAATGGGCACATGTGTATGGTGACGATAGCAATTAGACTTTGGGTGATGAACACTGTATAGTCTACACAAATTGAAATATAATGAGGTACACATGAAATTTATATAAAGCTATAAACCAATGTTACCTCAAAAAATTACTTAAAAAATAAATAAAATGTTGCTTTCAAAAAAAGGCATTATTTAAAAATTAAACATAAATATTGCATCCATAAATCTTAAATTCTTTGGATATGAATCTGAACTGATTAAGTTGAACTATCTTATGGGTATTTTTCTTATATAAATTTATCAGATTGGGCAAACAACAACCAGAGAACTGGAGAGTGATATAACAATGGATAAAAGTGATATTTTAAAACTAGAAGAAAATCTTGAGAATATGAGGAAACCTCAAGACAGGTTAATGTTTGCAAAAATATAAAATATCAAAACCAACAAAATGTAGAAAAAGTAAACCAACCAATAGCAATTGAAATAGTTCCTAAACAACAAGTACCACTTGATAGAAACAGAATTGTGAATGAAGTCTAAAAAATTCCAAGGAACAGATAATTTCGGTGTATCAAGAGTGTAACAAGGACCATGATATGTAACATCTTCCAGATCACAAAAATGACAAGTTACCCAATTTATTATGGGTTGTTGTAATCTCAAATATCATTTATAATAATGAAAAAAAAAGAAAACTAAGAGACTCTTTCTTTTGAGGATGGATTTGAAAATCTTAATTGGATTCCTAGCAGATACAGTCAAAGGTTTATAGACAACATGTAGGTTACTTAGGCTGTCTGTGGCTCAATTTCCTCATTTGTCATTTGGGGATTGTAATAGTAACTACCCCATAGGATTGTTGTGGGGATTAAATGAGTTAATAATTGTAAAGTGCTTAGAACAATGCATGTGTGCACCATATACTGGTGATAAAGACAAACATACGATCTAGAAATGGAGCTCTGTTATACCTCACCAAGGAAAAATATCATTCATTGGTATATCCAGGTCAGTTACAGATGATGCTTTGTATACATCTATCAGAATGGAGTAAAGTACTGATTGATTTCCTTTCCTGACCCTTTGAGGTTATTAGTTAGTCCAGGAATTATGGTGAAATAGTATACTCTTGAGAAATATTTACCAAATTCTTTGGGGCCATGTTTATGGAAGCCTTCATCTAGGCTATGATTCCCTGAATTCCCCATGTGGATGTCTGCTTAGCTACTGGGTTTCCTATCCTACCCAGTACTATCAAAATAGAGGAAAGAAGATTCGGGAGAGGTGGCTAGGTGGTGTGGCCGTGCCAAGAGGGCAAGGACACCTTATCTCAAGTCCCTGATTCCTGGGAGATACAGAAAATGAATCCTACTTGTACGTTTGTCTCCAGAGTTGGGCTGCAATGGCCAATGAGAAAATAGGTAAGATATGAACTACTGAGTCATGGAGCAGTCCTTTGGGTGGGAGGTGAAGGTGGGAGGAATTGAATTTAGCCAAAACATAAAATTAAGTCTTCCAAGGGAGCATCAATAATTACTGGACCTGCTTAGGACTTACATCTTTGTCAATGGAACATATTGTGATCACCATCAGGTCATACTCAATCTATAGAAGAGATGCAAGGTCATTTACAATGAAAGGGGACAGCAACATTGACAATGTATAGACATGTTTGTCTTCCTTTTCAGACACCAGAGGGGTAAGTGGAAGGAGGGAAGTGTGGAGTTCAAGAAAGCAGATCACATCTTCACAAACACACACACACACACACACACACGGCCTCCTATCTAACCTGCACTAGTGGAGAAGAGAACTGTTTTAATAACTTAAAATATCCAAAACGTTATGGAATTAGATTGAGATGTATTCAGGGGAGAGGGGAGTTTTCAACAGAGTACAGTTGGTAGCAGTTAGTGGGGAAAAAACCTTAGTGTATATACTTTCAGTGACTTGAGACTTCTCACTAAATCAATTACGTATTTTTTGTAATCCTCAAAACAATCTGTCATCAACAGTTAGTTTTAGCTCCATTTTAAAATTGAGAAAAAGGACCCAGAGAAGTTAACTAAAGATATATAGGCAGTAAAAAGCTAGAATTCAAATCTGAGCTATATGACCCCAAAGCCCATGCTTTTCCCACCATGCTCTTTAACACGTTGCAAAACAAAAATTATAAGATTTTTCTTCAGATGCCATGGGAGAAGGAAGTACCTAAATATAGGATTTCTGTATGGTGTTTAAGGTTCAGCTAAGCTTGGAAACCATATGACATTATTCTGTGGTGTTGGATGATTTTCTTTAGCTGCAGCCAGCAGTTTGAGTATAGGAATAAAGAAGGTAGACAGATAAACAGGGTTTTGCAGTGTAGACACTTAGGGAAAAAGGGCAAGGAATTTAAGAATATCGGCTGCGGAATGGATGAAGTGGTAGGGAACTGGGTCCAGCCTCTCTGGAGAAAACAGTGGTCATGAGAGGGCTGAAATGTTGGGAGAAGGTTGAAGAGATAAGGGAGTGGAAGTTTCACATGGAATCAAGAGCAGTCATAAAGAGAGTCAGGGAGTAAACATTAGACACATGGGGTGTGAGAAGTGGGGCAGTAGAGGAATTAATCTATGAGGCAGCATTGGAATTGCATCTCTCTGATCTCCCTTCAAGAAAGACCCTGATGTTCACTTGCAAGGAGTGCAGTTGGCTAACAGCCTCCAGCCATTAGCACCTGTGGGCTCTGCCTCAGCTTTGGAGTGGAGGCCCCACTGTTCCTGGATAGCCACAGCCAATGACTGACTGAGCACGGAGGTACTGGGGCCTGCCATTCTTCCCAACATAGAACTCTTCTAATCATCAACTTTTCTTCTCTAGCTCTCAACTGGGTTGACCAAGACCTCATCAGATCCTCTTTAATCCTGTTCCATGCCCCTTTTATCTTTCACAGATGTTATCTTCCAATAAATCCCTTGGACTCCTTGACTCCTAGCATCTGCTTCCTAGAGAACCCGACTGAGACAATCTGTGAAGAGAGAGATATAAAGGAGTTGAGTTTTCATCTATTTGTTTGTTTTAAATAGTAAAGTGGGGGTTCTGTAGAGCATGATGAACATGTTTCTGAGGACAGTAAACCAAGGATGGGTTACACATAGCAATATGGACTGAAACCATACGCTAGTATAGATAAATAAGTGCCTTACATCTTCAGTAGTAGAAGAAGCCAAGTTTGAGCGGACTACAGGTTTAAGTGTACTCAGAATACCACTTGGGCACACGTGAAACTCATGGGAGAAAGTCCTCAGTAGTCGTGACAGGGCTGGGCCTGGCAGCTGCTGCCCCAGTTAGAAAACTTCCACTATCCAAAGTATTTCCAGGAGTGAACTACAAACCGTGAAACTTATTGAGTTTCTTGAGGTCAACAGGATTTTAATTACTTAATTAAGAGTAAATAATTGGTTATAACTTCACCACTCAAATAATTTTAAAACATGAAGGCAGTTTTCATAGTAGCTTCCTTACTTCTAGGGAAGAGAAGAGAATTCAATAACTCTGCTAACTTTGGTGAGTTTTATTCCGAAGGATTTTCCCCATATTGCTTATACCACAGAAGAATGTAGGAATCTCTGTAACTGTAAATAGAGTTAGTATCGCCAAAACAATCCCCAGAGTGAGCTGGGCTAATTTAAGGAGTGGACTGTCCTTACTAAAATGTCAATGGAATTTTAACAAGTATTATAATATATTCAGAAAATGAAATGCAAGTCTAGCTGCAGTTTTCAGGTTTACCAGGGAACTAATTTCTTATCTTTGTTTTTTTTTTCTGATTGTAAAATAATACATATGAAAAAACAGATAGAAGATAGTATTAAAATATTTATTACTTATTCATTTAGTAAATATTCATTGATCATCTAAGTTGGACAGGAAAAACTAGGGACAGGTGTGACAGACTGGCTTGCTTCACTGTAACCCTTTATAGGTTTTGAATTTCCTGTTATGCAAACATACTTATTTATCCTTAAGGTGAGGGTTGTTTGGGTTTTAACCCAAATTATTTCTCAGAAAAGATGGAGTCACTTTGTATTCCAGTCCTTACAAGTCTGTCATATTATGGGTCACTCTCTTAATTATTTTAATCAACAACATACCAATTGAAGAAATCATTTAGCCTGACGTAAATTCAATCTGTAAAATCTGGAATTTGTATTTTAAAAAAAGACAAATTTAAGATGTCACTTTAAAAGGTAGTATAATACATTGTAGTGATTATAAATATGTTATATATGGAATGGGAAAAAGCAACATATCTGAATTAGTAAATTTAATAAATAGAAGTAAACTAATAAATGCTGTGTGACATTTAACCATTTGATTTCTGTCTCAAAATTTTAACATATCAAGTTGTCCCAAACACATTTTGAAAATGTCTGAAAAAAAACCGAGATCACCTTATATTCGGAAATATCTAGACTAAATTGATTAAAATTAATTAATTAAAGTTTATCTACTTGTTTCTCCACTTTGAGCCATAATAGACAAGGTAATTTTTAAACATTTCTAATATTTTGTAATGTTATGTTTGGGGACTCTGTTTTTAACTTACTACTTTATACTGAATTCGGAAGGAATAATGTCTTAAAGACTTTTCTTACAACCCAGTAAGACGTAAAAGTTTTAAAAAAACTAAAATAACGAATTTGTAATTGAGATTTATTTATGTTTTGCTGTTCTATGCACCTTGAATCACCAATTACTGAACTGCAAAATGAAAGCCGAGAAAAGCCACCTGAATATCAAATACATTCATTATCATAAGTGCTCACAGAGAATATGAGATGAACTAACAACGAACAAAGCGTCTAAAATTAAATTCACATCTTCATACATATACTATGAATGATGACATAATAAATTACAAGAGAGATATATATGATAAACCTGAATTCATATGACATTTTCCTAATTGTGATATTATATAAATATTTATATTAATTAATCAGGTGCTTTTTTTTCCATTACAGATAATTTCCTAGTGAAGTTATGGAGCAAACTTTAGCCTTAGTAAAATTGGACAAGTTATTTCTACTGTGAAAGATCGCTGAAGGATAACTGTTTTCAACTGAAACCTAAAGACAGAGATAGCAGTTAACATTTATTTTCATAATCTTAAAAAGGTATATAATTTCAGTAGGAGGGACCTATAGCGACACTAAGTGGGGGGTGGAGTGAGGACATTTGATCAGTGCTGGGGGAGAGCAAAGCAAAGAGGCATTATCCAGAGAATTCTGCACAGCAGTCGCCCACCTGATCCGGGCTGCCTTCTTAGCTTACCCTTGAACGTCAGCCTGGTTCTGGCCCAGGCCCAAGAGCTAAGTTTCAGATCCTGGCAGGCTTAGGAGAACAGTGCAGCCTGGAACATCTAATCCCACTCCGGCTTGCTCTAAAATGGCCCCTGAATTCATCCAGCTCCTGAGCCTGCTGCCTGAAGCTGTTGCTAGAAACTCGAAGCATAGAAGAGCAATGCCACTTTTGCTCCAGCTTTGAGTTTCGGTTTTACCATATTAATTTTTTCAAGAATTTTCATCTTTCCACATGCCATCTTTTAGAACAGATTGCTTAAAGTTTCTTAGAGGAAATGAGGCACAGTTAGCAGATGAGAGGGTGTACACCCGTGTTCCTAGGGCCCGGGCAGCTATCACCTTGTAAGGACTTACCTGCTGCAAGAGAAGCCAGGGCCAGGCAGTGTAGTTTTTCTGTTGCCTTTTAATCCGGGGGCTTATGATGGATTTCCTTAAACTGTTTTGGTACGTGTGGGCAATCTCCTACTGGTACAGCCTCTGTTAGGAGGTAAAGTTTGTAGGCTGCAAGGTGGCTTTCTGCTGAGGACTGCCGGCCTCCTGGAGAGGGTGTCTGCTGAGGGAGACCTCGAATGAGAGCCACCGTGAAGCTCAGATGCCTCGATCCCTTTTCAGATACTGGCAGAAGGCCAGACTCAGAGTGTTCCTCCAGGGAGTAGCTGGGTGAATTGGCAGGTGGCCAGGTGAGGGGCAGACTGTCATTTATAAAGTGATGGTTTTTATAGACTCCTAGTAATCCGTACTGCACTTACCTGAACCCTGTGGTTTCTGGGAGAAAAAAGAACCAGATTATTCTGCTATTGGAATAAAACCAAGATAAACACTGGATTTAGGTTTGTGGGATCTATATTGGTCTTTTCAAAATACTTCAGTATTTATTTCAGCAAATAGCCCTTGCATGATCTTGTGTCCCTAACTTACACTTTTCCTGGGTCCTGTGATGCTCTCTGCTCCTCCAGTTGCCATTAAGGGTCCCTTGCTCCACTGTGCCCCAGGGCTTTGTAATGTTGTCTATAACCACCTCATTAACTCTCACCCGTCTTGGGTTCTCTGAATCTGGTTTCCTTAAATATGATAAAGAGTATGTCACTTATTGTGAGAGATGTCAGAATATTCACAGAAAAGAATGAGTATTGCTAAACTGAGAAAAATATGATTACCATAAAATGTCATCTTAAAATTTTCTTGTAGTTTAAGATTTGCATAAACAAAACTGATATTTATTAATGTGTCCTATTGAGTGCCCAGCACTGTGCTAAGAATTTTACCTGCACTGTCCCATTTAATCTTAATAACAACATAATAAAGAATAGTAGGAACCATTATTATTTCCATCTTATAGATGAGAAAACTGAGGCACAGAGAGATCCAAGGAGACATGGTTAACAAGTGGCAGAGCAGGAATACAAAGCCAGTTCTGCCTGACTCTAGAACCTGAGTACTACTTTAATATTAGCTATACTATGAGCACTTTAATATTAGCTATTACTTTATTAGTAATCAATGATTTAACAACTAAAAGATATGGAAATGAAATGCAAAAGAATGATAAACATCCAACTTCAGTCATCTCTGTAGAGGCAATGAGGGAGGGGAGCGGAACTGGGAAGAGGGTACACAAAGGCTTCAACTGTATATATAAGATTTGATTTTTATAAAACTAATGAAAATATGGAAATATGTTAAGATTTGATAAACCAGGGCCACAGGTAAATATTTTTCTCTGTACTTTTCTGCGCACCTGAAGTTATGACCTGATGTCATCCTATTTGGTTGATATGAAGACTAAATAATTAAGGAAATAATTCTGGTGAAAGTCTGGAGAAACTGATATCTTTATACACTTCTGGTAATGTAAACTGGCCCAACTCTTTTGGAAACCAATTTGGCAATATGTGTCAAAAACCATAAAAATAATCTTACTCTTTGTTTCAGTAAGTTTCCTTTTGGGACACCATCCTAAGAAAAAAAAATCAAAATATGTGTGCACATACACACATAAATACACACACTGAAAAAATGATACGCATAAAAATGTCAACTGCAGTATTATTTATACTGCAGTACGATAGTGGAATACAATAAACAATCTAAAAGTTTACAGTAGATTATGTACTGTATTATGCAGCCTTTAAAGTAACATTTATGAAGGCAATATAACAGTTTGCATAATACTAGTGATGTATTATTAGTTGAAAACAGTCAGAATACGAAATTGCATATCCACTAGGATTAAATCAATGAAAAAATAAGCATAGGAAAAGGTTAGAAGGAAGCACCATAAAATGATGAGTACGGAATTAGTGTTAGGACCATGAGATTGTGAATATTTCTCTTTCTTGTCTCTCCCAAATTTTTGATAATATTGGTCTCTGATATATTGTTTTTGTAGTGTAAAATTATTACATAGTACACAACTAGCCTTGGAAATAATGAGATACATTCAAAAATAAACTAGAATTCAAGGGAGAGGATGAAAAGTTCCAAGGAAGGTTGTAGACAGTCCACAAGCAATGCAGGCGTTCAGAGGAAGGGGAGATCATCAGGCGGGTGTCTTTAGGAATGCTTCCTGAAGGAGGCGCTGTCTGTGGGCTTCAATAATCAGCAGAGCAGGGTAAGAGCTGGGACTAGGAGAGGGCGCAAGGGAAGCGGGCGTGCAAGCTTTGAAAGGAGAAAGATGTGAGATCATCTCAGGAAACAGCACTTCATGTCATGAAATATTTTATTTTCAATTTTATCTGCTGATTTTTTCAGAAAATGTGGTGACTTTAAAGTTGTCATGGTTGAATTAATTCCACCAAACAACTGGTTGTAGAATCTTAGCAACATAATTATGAGTTAGGCTTCTGGCTCCAAATCTTTCATCTAAAAATAATCGCAATGACTGCATCTTGGGAAAACAAAGCCATTACCTATTCTTGTGCTCCAGCTATCTTGGTAGTCACTTACTGGAAAATGGATCATGGGGAAAATAACTGCATGTTTTTAGAACACTGCTTGTCACTCTTACCTTCACTAAGTAGATTAATGAAATAATTTTAAAACTTTTGGTCTAGAGGTATGCTCTTAAGCATGCACATGACTTAGGAAAAATCTTTTATGCTCACACAAGGTGCCTGTGCTCCCCAAAGGGCACAGCCCTGGCTCTCCTGAAAGCCTATGTTATTCCTCTAGGGAGTGTATTTTCTTGTCCAGAAAGGGGGACGGAGGCCAGGGGTGGAGATGTGGCGGGTAGGAGGGGGGATGTTAGGTAGGTCTCCAACATGGGTTAGCTGGATGAACCTGTATGCTCCACTGCCCACCTCATACACCAGCTGCTCTTCGCCCAGCTTCCTTGGGTTAGATAAATACTCATTGAATGATATATGAACAACAGGATTAATGATAATAGTTGCCATTTATAGAATGATTACTTTGTGCTAGGAGTTTACATCCATTAACTCTGACTGTCCTAAGAATCCTGCTGAGTGTATAACTCAAATACCAGGACACTTAGGTTCTTCAAATGACTCTAGTTTTTTTTATTCTTTAAGATCAGGGTAAAATAAAAGCACTTGATTGCCATCTCCCACACTGATGAGAAATCTGCTGGTATTCCCCACATCTCCAGGTTTCTCTTCCTTACCTCACATTCTGTTTTCCTACCTTGGCCAAATTCTCCATCTATCCTCTACATCCCTCTTGTGTTTGCTTTCCCTTCTGCTGGACTGCCTTACCCATTACCATAAACGCATCAGCTTAATTTCATCACTCTCCCAAGTATTGCCCACATATGACTGCTGGTAAAACAAACATCAATTTATGTTCTGGTGAAAAGGTAAGGAATGATTCACTGTGGTGCCAAGTGACAAACAACTCAATATTGGATATTAAGACTATTGCCCCAAATAAAGCCTCAGACTCTTGGCTATTTTGCTGGACTTCTTTTCTTCCTGGGGTTGGTGCTTTCATCTCAAGCTCTTGGATGCTCAAAATTCTTCATCATGCAAAGTGATTTATTTCTGTGCCTGGGGCTTCCTCCTTCGTATCTAAAGCAGGCCTATCAGGGTGTTTTCCTAAACTTGGAGTCCTAGGAATCAGAAGGCCTGTAGTCTGCTGTGGTTTTAAATAGCATTTTTCCCCCACCGCTATGTTATTATCCACATTTACACAAGATGAAACAAGTTTAGTGAAATTAAATGATTACCCAAGAAAAAGGGCCAGAGTGTGAATTACAAGCCTGGCTTGCCCAACTCAGAGCTTAGGTTCCTCCCTCCAAACCAGGATGAATGCATGAGAGTCAATACTTATTGAATGTTTACGGCATGTCTGGCTCTGTTCTAAGAGCTCTAGGGGCATTAACTCATTAAATCATCACTTAGCTAATATGCATTTTATAGATACAGAGATGGTAAGTAACTTGCCCAAAGTCACACAGCTAACAAATGGAAAGGCCAGGATTAACACCCAGGTAGTTGGTCCCTATGGTTCCCATCATTAGCTGCCATGCTCTCTCAACCTCATGCTTCAGCTCCCCTCACTTGGTTCAGTGGCTGGAAATAGGGGCAGATACTGGGTGACAGTTCAGTCTGCACCCTGAAAATGACTCCAGTGTGGTTTTGGAAACTGAGCTTTCTGAAGCTATGAGAATGCAGGGGTATTGTTGGGGTCTGAAGGTATAATTTGCTCAGTGACAAACTGAGTTATAAACTTTATAATTGCTGCTTTTGAAAGTAATAATGGAATTCTGTCTTTTCTAGCTTAACGATTTGCTACATTCACTCAATTCATTTAGTCAGTCATTCAAGATTTGGTGAGAGTCCTCTGTACCTCAGGTACTGTTAGTCACTGAGCAAACAAAGACAAATCTTTCAGATCCAGGCTCAGTCCTCGAGTAGCTCAGAATCTTGTGGGGAACTTGTAGTCTAGAGCATGTTGTAATATGACTCATTCATCAGATAGTTACACATTTGACAATACGTGACACTATAGAGAGTCATATTTTGGGTCAATGAATGAAGGAAATGTCTAAGAATTACTCTTTGGAAGAAAGAGAAATCATTCTATCTCCAGTGCTAGGAAGACCATAGGAAGTGGACAGTAGAGCCTGGATGACCACCTGGCCAGGATTTTGTAAAGAGCATTCAAACATATTATGACCTGAAAAATTCTCATCGTGGAGACCATGACCCATGTTCTGAATGTAAGGAAGACAGTCACATCAGTAGGGGTGTGGAGATCCACATGAAGGCATGAAAGACAAGTTAAAGGTTAAGATTATGGTGATGATTCCTTCCAACACTGGTCTATGGCGGAGATTCTAGATTTCCCTGCCTGGCTCTTTAGAGAAAAAAATTATTAGCATGAAGAAGGGCATGAAATTGG